CTACCCTCTCTCTCCTCAATGAGGTAGGAGGTGAAATCACCCTAGCTGATCACAGGAGTGAATGGAGAACAGTAGTGTCAGACAGGTGGCAAACCCACTGAGTGTGAGGGAGTGACTGGCTATTGTAAATTATCACTACAGGCATTAAAAAGGAGGGAGGAGAAAGCATAAAATGATAGCAACATAAAATGATAGCAATTCCTTTAGAACTATCATTATAAAGGAGGAGGCTGATTGAAAGTTATATAATGGAGGAAGGTGAAAGAACATAGAATATTCACCATGCTTAGATTCCTCACCATTGGAGTTAATGCTTTGGATACTTGGCCCTGTTAAAATTCACATGTTTATATGATTACCTAGTACTTCCTTTGAAAAAATAGAGTCATATCTTGAGGCTAAATATTAGGCAAAAACACTAAGCCTTATAGTATTTACAAATGAAAGTTCAAACTTCCGAGAAATTAAGAGAGCCTTCAAACTTGCCTCCTCACCAGTCTCTTATTTTTAGTTTTATCTTCAACATTTTCCCCTTGTGCACATGTAGCTTATTCACATCTAACTCTAGTGGCTCCCAACAAGCCAAGTGTTAGGTAAAAAACATTATACATTGTGGTGTTTCAGATAACCAGATTTGGAACTGAAAGAAATGTCTTCTTAAATTCCACATTTAACTGCCTCTCAGATCTGCTTTAAAGTCCCCCCTCTTCCTCATCTAGTTAAATGATCTTTATTTGGCTGTGAAATTCAAAGGCTTGAGTACTTCACAGAAAAGGCAGGTGACACCAACAGAAGAGAGAGATAAATGCAGAGTTTAGCACAAGCAAGCTCCATTCACATAAAAATTTTCCCCACCACATAGCTCATGTTAAAGTGATGAAATTCCTGACACTTCTGTTATAGGTGAGCTGTAACAGGTACACCAAGTCACGTCTCAGCAAACCCCTACCAGTCATGGACACATTATGTCAATTTATGGGGAAAATGTGAGATCCTCGTTAGAAAATACTTGTAGGTTTCAGTACTTAATTTTTACTGTAAAAAATGAACAAAAGGAGTCAATTTCTATATTTAATCCTCATAATTAGAGCGATTATATGGCAACAAAATCTGTGAAAAAAGTTTATAGTTGATCTCTTTGGGAGTGTGTGCAATTAGAAGGAAGGAAGGAAGAAAGGAAAGAAGGAAGGAAGGCAGGCAAAAGGAAAAGAAGGACGGAAAGAAGGAAGGAAGGAAGGAAGGGTCTTTTGAATTTGCTGACTTTCTGATTCTGAAAAAAAAAACTTTTCAAATTTCTAGCTTGCTCAACTTGAATGCCATCTTAGTTATTTTTTATAACACTTTTCATATTTATTTTTTACTGAAATGTCACCTTTGGGGATAGGCATTTATATTTAATATTACTGATTTATTCTCTCTCATCAAAACTTAGAAGGACACAACCACTAATTATTAATGGAATAATTATCACTAATTATTCCATTTTCTGCCCCAAGGAGCATGAGGTATAAAATAAATATGATAGTCTTTGACCAAACGATTCATTGTCTTTGTTTTTTAGTTGAGAATTACATTTTCTTGTTTTTTTTTTCATAGATATTGAAACTCCTAAATTAATTTAAAAATACTTAAAAATTTTCTCACACATGTAATACATACTGTTTACCTAATAACATAATATAGGAGAAAATTAGTTAATTTTTGAATAAGGTTTAACATGTTATATACATCTTGTGAATGTTTAATCTTTAAGTCTCATATTTTTAGAATAAGACCACCAGTAAAGTAATGTGC